AACTAGAATTTTCAATTGCAAAAAAGAATAAAGAATCTATTCATTACAAAAAATGGCAAAACATGTTGTCGTAACTTTTCTTTTCTCAACAGCTGAGTATCGGGTAGTAATAGTTATATATGCAGTTGTACATACAGATATATAAGTATCTGTACAAATTATTATATGGGTTTATACTGTTAACCACACCCTTAATTAGATCTAGCTGACTGTGAATGTAATGTAATGCACATTTGTAATTAGTGACTGTGTTAGTGGGTAGCATAAGCGTTAATGTAATTAACTGTGTAATTGTTTGTATCGCTCTTGTAATTGTGCTTTAAGTAACAAAAAATGTTAAAAAAATCCCTTATTAATCTTATCTCATTAACATCTTGACTACTATTGTCCATGATTTTAAATCTGGATTGTACCTTGTTTGTATTTTGAGCTCTTTCTTTGAAGACTGGAGTTCGAGACAATTTTTCTTATTAATCACATACACGGTGGAATTCATTGCGTTGAAGATGGGCAAAATTATCATACATGACTGCGTTATGCGTATCTGAATGGTGCTGGTCCTGCCTTCAAATTTTATGAAGTCATTGGAAAATGAGTAATGTGCATGAATTAGATTGTGCTTGTGGCAGGCGTTTTCCAAACTCAGTCTCTACCTGCTGCATTTCTACCAAATCCTTGAATACTTTTTCTTCCCCCTGGTACTCTGGAAGCTTCCTTTTTACCTAACCTATCACTTTATTTACTGTAAACCATAATTCCGGCACACAATACATTAATCTTTGAATTTAATTTCGGGAAAATCTCACATATGGTCGGTATCGCATATTATTACATGTAGGAGTTGTATATTGTTTACAAAAAGAGAATATTCTGCTCCTTATTTATTTTGCTCCTTACCAAAATCCAAATCTTTTCACTTTAAACCCACAGAAATTGATCTTTTTAGTTTGAGGTTCTTTATCAGGGTTCTTTATAATTTTTATCACCAAATATAGCAATGGATGAAGTCTGGTTTTGTAGCCTTAGGCTCCAAGTCCATGCATGCAGGTTTGAGCCACACATCACAAATAGATCAGGTTTAATTAGTAATTATAAAACTACAGGGTAACTGCTATTTTTCAAAAGGAAAAATGATTAAAGTGTGGTTTCTTGACTGATGGAGACAATGTTAATTTGTATGCTTTCTTTCACATCTGATTGGTGGCTACACAATCGACATGTAAAAATCAAATCAAAGTTTTCACTCCTTTTTGACGTTCACAATACAGAGATAATAATAATCAAATTTTCATTAGTGAATCCATTATTTTGTTTAGTATTTGGGGGAAGACTTGTTAAAGTCTGACTACAGCAAATCTAGATCTTGTATGTGGGCTGGCATTATAACAAGCAAAGCATTACAACTGAAAATGAGCAGCTGCTATATCACCTGAATCGAACTAAATTATACTAGTCTAAGTAACTTCCAAGCACACATAATGCCACACTCAAATACCAAAGTTAAGTACACCAAGTAATAAAACACCAATATTGCAAACAGCAAGTAAAATACATCACACAAGTAAAGTAACTAAGACAAGAAAAGTACATGTATACATACACTGTATGGTTGGACAACAGATGGTGTATTACATAAGTTCTATGGAAAACAGTTTGCCACTGACTTGATATTGGTGTATCACATATACAGTTGTTTCAACAAACTTTGTCCCACGAAAAGCATAAATAGCATACACAACATTGGCGGTATTATAGGTATAATAGTGATAGTTCATCATTGCTTGGTTCAGGATCACTGAGCGTTTCAGCAAGAAGGAAAAAGAATGAATACACACATTTGTGCTGTTTCCTTCTGTCATGCTGAAACACACTGATTATAATCATTTGATTAACCACTCTTACCCCTAAATCCTTTCAGCATTGTCACCCATGCATTTTTGTTTTTGTAGGAGTCAAGCTTTTTGAAAACAGTTGCATCATGTAAAATGTAACTACAATCATCATTATACCTGCAGTGTTTGACAATACACTCATTGCTACAGTACTGAGTGCCACGCTCCTTTGTTGTCCGTGCTGGATTGTTACAACCATCACACAGACAGATACGCTGGCTTATTGGGTTGACTGTCACTTTACTCTTCTGTATACAGTTAAACAAAAAACCCAGTGAAAAAACAAAACAAAAACATAACAGATTAAAATATCCCTCCTCAATAAACTTCTGACTTACAGTGCATCCATGAATCTACTAGTTATGATGATGATGATGATGATGATGATGATGATGATGATGATGATTATCATTATCATTATTTGGCAGTTTCAGTAATTGCAATTCAGTAATTTGAGTAGAGGAGTCATGGGAAATGTGTAGATTCATCATAAGATAATTATTAGTCAGAAAAGTTACTCTGACTAGTTAAATATAACCTTCGATTTGATGCAGATTTATGGCATATATGATGTTAGCCTGTGAACAGGCTCCCGGCAAGCCTGAATGAAGCAAGGGAGCCTGTGGACTTTCTGTTGATGCCACCGTTCCATGATACCAGGATCTGGTATCATGATCTGATTGGATAAATCGCTGATTGATGACATCGTAGAGATAAATATTTGACAGATCTTTGTAAAATAAGGTTGACCGCCCCATGCAACTCCTACAATTCGTGACATTTGTGCATTTGCTGTTCTTTTTTAACCTTTGGTCCCTCAACCTTTTGGTATTTCACACATGATTCTGAAGGGTACTTCATGCTGTGTTATGAGGAGGAATTTTAAGTAGTCTGGAGCCATTTGGCTGTGCCATTAACAGCAATTTTTTTTAGAGGTCAAAGGTATGGTTTCCGGACTTTCCACTGCTATTTGCATGTTGCTTCACAGGGTTTTACACCTCTATCATTTGCCATGTGCTTGTAATTTATTTAGGCTCATTTCAGTATTGCAAAATATGTTTTAAGCTCTCGAAGTATTGGCTCTGGAGGGACAAAGTTTGAAATATTCCGTGAGCATGTTGCTTACTTGCACTCTATATTATGATGCTGGGCCCGGCTGTTTGATAAGGTCGATTAGAACTGTCAAGAAGAGAAAACGTAGCTTCTTGGCTGGCCTAATTACTTCACTGACTGATTTGTTACAGGCTAATCACCAAGGGTGGATAGGCACATCACAAACAACGTCTACAGGCTCCCCAGTCATGCCCCGATCACTTCGCTCTCTGAATTCTTCAGTTTCATGCCCATTCACTCAATTTGCTCGCTGAATTTTTTCCCCTTCCTCACTTGGAGCCCGTTGGCAAGCTGGTTTGATGTTATCTGGATGGGCTTTTTAGAGCGGAGACACACATGAGAGTATTCAATGTTTCAGTCTGTTGTGACTGGCTACTGGTTAACCCTCCACACTCACCTTAGGCTTGGTTGGAACTGCTGGTTGAGAAACTGTATTAGTAGTTGTCTTGCTAGCTGCCATTGGAGGTACAGTTGCCACAGGTTTCCCAGCCATAGGAACTTGATTTTGAGCACGCCCTAAGGGTTTACTGCCAGAAGCTACAGGTGCAGTAGAATCCTTGCTACTTTCCAGTGAAGCAGGTGCACCACTGGGTACTACAGTAATATCCATTTTATCAACTTTCCTCAATTTTGGTCCAGGTTCATCCTGAAGGAGAAACATTTGTAGGACTTGTAATTCTTACAGACAGTTTTACAACATGCACATCGTTCTACGCAATGTGGTGTTAAGATATCAATAATGAACTTGAACTAATATACAATGGAACCAACTTGTAACTAGATCCCCTGTCAACATGTTTTCTAGTAATGATGGCTGTTCTTTTATTGATTCATTGCTTTGGGAATTTGGTAATTTATTATATGGCTAGCTCCGTGAGTGGGCAAGATGAATCAAATCCTGCACTGTGATTGGCTACCTGAGCGGGCAAGATGGAACTATCTTGCCTGCTCGGGACTACCCGCCGTGTTCCGCACCAAAAATTTCCCGAAAGCCATACAATAAATCCTTTATTGACCAAGCTTGTTTGGTCAAGATTGCTGGATATTGGCTTCATTCTTTTTTTGCAAGTTTATGGACCTTGACTCCATTTCGGTCCATAAACACGCAAAATAAGAACTTGGCCAATATCCAGCCATCTTGACCTTACACTTGGTCAATAACCCATACGTACTCCACCATATGTAAACATCTGCATCCATTTACATTTTACCTTTTCAGACAACTCTAGATTAGGAAAACAAGAACATTCAGGATTTTAAACTTAATAAACATCCAGGATTTTATGGTCTCCAAAACAGATGCCCAAGTCGGATACTCTTTGGGTTTCACACATGGACAAGTATATACCTCTTGTAATAACTTTTTAGCTCTGTGTTCTTCTTGAAATTTTTGGTAATCCTGCTGTGCTTTCTCTTGCAAACTCTAAAAATATAGTTAACTTGTTAATACCATGATAAACAAAGGTTGCCTCTAAATCACACTTAACCCACCGGAAGCAACTATACATTATTGTTAGGCAGGATAAGAGTAAACAAAGGAATGAAAAGAACGAATAGTTTACCTTGTCTCCTGTTGTCATCAGATGTACAGGGAAAACTACTACCTACATGTGTTGCAAAACACTACAGTACTGAACTCATACCTAGGCCCCTTCACACAGAAGGGGGAGCCTCTGCTGGAGGGGGCATGTGTAATGGTACTATCATGTAGCAAAAATTGATTAAAAATTTGACCAAGTTGTAAAAAACTCTTGACTTTGTTGTTTGTTTGCCTGGTTTCATGGAAGCTACAGTAAGAAATTTAGAGATCTGAGCAAAGTTTGGATTGTATTTCAAAACAATGAGAGAGCAGAGAGTTGCTTCCCTTGTCAAATTATATATCAAAGCTAGAAAAATTTTGGACCGCAAAAAGATGCCTAGGTATCAGTTCAACACTATAATTTTTTGTAGGACTTAAAGGAAGCTGTTTTCCCTCTAAATTCACCTGAGAGGTGACAACAGGGGACAAAGGTCAACTAAATGCATTCTTTTTACTCCTTCATTTACTCTCATCCTACTCAACCAGATTGTATGTTCCCTATACTTTAACCTAGAAAGAGATGGAAATCATCTGCTCCTTATGCACAAGAAAGCTAGTTAACATTTCTTTTTTTTTCTGCAGCCTTTACAAGGTGGCAAGAAATCAAACATTATTTCAACCCAGTGATATCCAATGCTCCCTCATCATGCCCCATGTGCCCTGTCTGATATGGACAGTACAGACTACTGCCCCATCCACCATTGGGTTTATAAGGTTGTTTCTATCCAGGGTTGTTGCTTAGAAAAAAGAAAGTCTCCAGGATGAAAATTACACTGAGCAGACTTCAGAAGGATACAGTGATAGTGATAGGTAACTTTTAACTTAACTTAACTTAACTTAACTTAATTTATTAGTAATTTTATTGGGAGTGTCCCGATTAAGACCTTATGTGTCCAATGGCATGATGAGGACTGATCATGATGAGTAGCACATGACTGACATGATTGGGTGGGGGAAGAGGGAGAGGGTAAGGGTTGCAAAAGCTTGGCTTGGATTTTATCTAGGAGAATGTATGAGAAGTTGCTTCCACCCCTATCACCCCTAAAGAAAATTATTTGTTCTATCAGCCAATAAACTCAGTGTTTAGCTGACAAGTTACATGTACAAGAAAATAATGTCATCTAAAATCTACATTTTCATGGCAGTTTGTAGATATAATACATGTATATATGCTTCTGCTGCAGTCATACCTTTTTTTGATTTTCATTCAAATTTTCCCATAACTGGTCAACAATTTTCTTGATGTCTTCAAACTGTACCTGTAAAATATTTTACATCAACAAATTAGACATTACACGTACACAATCATACACAACACTGTTTAGGAGCTAAATGCTGTATGTAACACAATATAGTCCACAATAAATATTACAGAAACTGCTCATTTATGATCTGGTCACATAGCCAGTATATAAAACTTAACTAGACAAATTGTACGTGAAATGCTGCAAGTAGATGTTGGGCAGTACTACATCATAATCTTGATTAGTGTGTTGCTCACCAAAAACAAGTGAAAATAATACTACTGTAACAATGGTTTCAGTTTTCACTAGACAATTATTAAGATATTTCTTAATCGATCTGACATGGACATTTGTTTGATAAGTGATAAGGATTGTGGGAAGAATGCCAAGTGTACTTACTGCAGGGTTCTTTGAACGTATGGTTGATTGCGTTTCCCTGAAGAAGAGCTCATAAGCTGTAAGAGGCCTAAAATTAAAGAACCAGAACCATTATAGATATGCATCTATCAAATAACTACACAAATGAATGATTTATTTGTCTGAAAATGTAGCACGTGTGCTGTGAATGTCAAACTTGTACATCTATCCAGGGGTTTCATAAGGGTTGGTCACCTAGCAAATTGATTGGCTAAGATGCTGATTTCCCTGCCTGGTTTGACCATCTGGAAGAAAGTTTCCTGATAAAGTTCAGTTCAAACAGTTTGCCTACCTGTGAAAACCAACTGCCTTCCCGCTGAAAACATCAATTAAAGCCCTAACTATCACATTCTAGACTAATTTTTAATGCTAATTACATGTAAGAAGAACTACACTAGAATGTGATTTATATCATGAAAATTATAAGGGTTCACAATAGTTGTTGTAAAATACATGTATGTGGAAACAAGTATTGTAACACAATTTTGACTGTGGTCTTACTTGTTCCCACATAATAGATCTCTAAACCATTCCTATCCATCTGAAGGAGTATGAAATTGTCAGTTCGTTCTGAAATTTTGTTACAAAAGAAGAGAAGTCCTCATTATCATCTAATCAATTCAATTTAATGTTGACTAAGGTAATGCTGAATTAGGATCATGAGAGAACACAAGATCAAGCATCCTTCAAATGTTGTGTCTTGTAGAAATAATGAACACAGTGAATCAATGGGTGCACATGTTTGAATACCATAATAGGTTACACACTCACTTGTTTAGTTCTTGTCTATCCTTTTCTCTCTTCTTTCTTTTAGTTCCTTTATCTTTCTTTTTCTTTTTCTTCTTCTTGATGTCATCGGAGCCTGCCTCCTTCTTTAAGTTTTCTGCCACCTGGGATAAAGGAGTACTATCATCCTCATCATCCTCATCATCACTGTCTTGCTGACTAGCAGAAGTTGCATCCTTTGCAGTAGAACCTGACATTGTTTGTGGTGATAGCATAAGATTTTCTGCTGAGCTTGTCAAGGACGACTGTGTGCTGGCTGCAGATGTAGTGTGGCCTCCACCAGACAAAGATGACAACGTTGATGAAGATGAGGCAGCAACCACTTGACTGATTGCTGTTGCCTCATTGACAAACGTTATTTGAACAACATTGCTGCTGGATGACAAAGGTGTCTGTAATAATGGTACAGTGTTTGACTGTGCAGATCCCAAAGTTATCGAGTTATGTTTATTATTTGGATTATTCACAAGTAGTCCAGGTGGTGTCTGTTGCATTGATGTTACTGTCTGAGCCAAACCCATCTGCACACAGGGTGCAGCATTGCTTTGTGACATGGTTAATTCACTTTTAACTCCACTAACAGCCATTTTGCTTGTTTCAGCAAATGAAGACACATTTTTAAAGCTTGGATTTAAGGCTGCTTCCAGTTCATCTTTAGACTCTGCTGGCTGAAGGGAAGATAACATGGACTTTGAATTAAAGCCAATGCTAGTAGGCTTTATTAATGTCATTTTGTTTGGTTGTGGTTTGAGCGACACAGGTGATTTAAGAGCTGAATTAGCATTTACAAGAATCATCTTCACTGGCTGATTTGATGCTGTCAGAGAAATGGAAGATTTAGCTTGTGATCCCTGTGCTCCAGATGCAGAATTTTGTGGAACTACATAACAAATAAGTGGTTGTCCAGTCTGTATACCAGCTTTTGTGGTCACAGCTTGCCCAGAAGATACCTGCTGCTTTGGCTGTCCAATGGCTTTTACAAGTTGACCTAAGAGTTCAGGGTTGGATGCCAAAGCTTGTAATGGATTCGTTTGATTGTGAGTACCACTAGATTGGACAGTAGCTGCACCTAAATTTGTCCCTTGTAGAGCTTTCTGAGAAGGCACTTTATTGGAATTTGTGACAGAAACTCCAACATTGTGCGTGGCAATATTATGTCCTTGTGCCTGAGAGGCACTTGAATGAACTGTAGAAGAAGACAATATTACCCTAGAACCCTGAGGATTAACATTTGCCCCATCCACATTATTTTTAGCTGGTACATTACTTGAAGTTAACGTTGGAGAGTTAATTCCAATGTGCGGAAGGGATGATCCAGTTTGACTCTTTGAAGATGCAACAGCAGCTGGAACTGCCATTTGTAACATTTGTGAATTAGTCAGAACCTGACTGCTGTGAGATGAAAAAGGCCTAGCAGCTATCACAGCTGATTGTGAAGCAGATAATCCTCCTACAGCCTGCAATGGAGAGCTAGGCTGGATAGCAGGAGGTGTGAGCCTTACAGCTTGGCTTCCTGATCTAACTGGTGCAGATACTTTTCCAGCATGGTTTGTTTGCTTTACTTTGGGACTTGGACTTCTTGATGATGCCAATGGACTCCCAGGACTACCAGCGGCATTCAGAGGACTCCCTCCTGGCACCACTCTTAGAGGTAATGTTGATTTTCCTGAGGTACTTGATGTCTGTACAACAGCTAACAGTTCTGGGCTTGTTGTGCAACCAGACACTGGGGAAATCCCCTTTTGTAAAGTGTTTGATGCAATCTGTAAATGATCTGTTGAGGGATTTTGCTGTTGAGAAGCTTGAGGTGCAAAAACAATTGGTTCACTGACACCTTGAGGCATATCCCGTTCAACAATTTCATCAATGAGTTGTTCAATGTTAGAACCTTCCCCCATTGACTCACCCACCAGTTGTTGATTCATGCTGACATTGTTCATTGGTGGAGGAAGGTTTGGTTGCACAAATGAGGGTAGCTGTGGTTGGACAGTTGCAGGTCTATTAAGGGTCGAGAGTAAAGCCATTCTAAGTGGCTGTTGTCCCACAGGAAAGGTTGAATGTGTCTGTAATGATCCAGGTGGGGTAATTGGAGGTAAATCAAAGTTTTCAGATGGAAAAGTAGGAGTTGGTGGCGTCCTAGAACGTGCAGAAAGATTCTGTGCATGAAGATACTCCTGCCGTATATCAGTCAACAAGGAGCTTGTGTCTCCAGGGAATACAGGGTTTATGGCAGATGATCGTGGATTCTTTAAACAAGAAAAAAATAACTTTAATATTCATATTGTAAATTTGTTGTTGTTGTTGTAGGAACACACAGTTTTGTTATTAAAAATAACAGGAACCAACTTATACAAGGCTACAGTTTGTAAATGTCAAAGTAATGCTACTATTGATTTAACCAATTTAGCTTAGGGTTATGCTATGCATAACAGCACCTTTACATATGTATTTGCAAGTGTCTAAGTTTCTTGTGCTATGGTAAACCTTGTGCCACTCTTAAATAACTTTATTTAATTTACTGCATCACAT